AGTCTGATGAAAAATAATGTGTGTCTCTAACAAAAACGAAAATAGGGTTTTATTAGTCTAAAAATCGGATGTGGGTTGATCCATGTGAAGTTGGGTCGATCTGGAAAATAGGAGGAAAAATAAAAGTTCTGGTTTCTGCCATCGGGGTGTATGCCTGATGGGAGCGCCTGATGGCAGTTTCCTGTAGATTTTGACACATGAAACTCTAGGAGTTGGATTCTGGTTTTCGCCATCAGGGTGTATGCCTGATGGGAGCGCCCGATGTCTGTTTCCAGCAAAATATTTCTTTACCATAAATAGTATAACTTTTGCTCCACTTATCCGATTGACTTCAAACCACCGCCAAATGCCAAACGTCTGACATTCTCTGCTCATTTGCTCTCATTCCTTGCTCTGCCTTACATTCCATCCCAACGAGCTTTAACCTAAAAAGATTCTAAAACATAGAAAAATGTATGCAAATGCGGGATGAAAATATGATTAAACCGTATCACAATGAGATAAAATATGAGAATATCAATATCTAACTTTTTTTAAATTTCTTTCTAAACTAAATTACATATTCTTAACAATATTTCAAATTTTGTTTTTTGAAAACTAATGAAATCGTATATGTTGGGGTCAGATTTTACCCGCTCAACGTTAATATTCAAAGTTTGGTTGACATGAGAAATGACCCTTAGGACTCTTAATGCTTAAGACTATACAGCCCCTAAGTTATTCCGCAAAACAGAACAGGTGATCACGTCAGGTCTTCGAAGACCTGGCGTGGAACGACGCCGAGGACTTCCTGCGGGTGCCACCGATGACCCGAAGAGGAGATGACACCAATGACCTCTTACGGAGCACCGATGACGACCTCTTGGCTCTTACGAAGCGGCGACGATGATTAACTGGGTTGGGCTTCGGCCCTTAACCAGCTAAGAGAACAAGTCCAGACATCTCCAGGAAATAGACATAGCGGCTGCAAAGCGACGACGTAACGACCGCGGGAGCTTGCAGCCTCAACACTGAGGCCCAGTCTAGTTGTGAAGCCCACTTCGGCGCAACCGACGTAGACAAAAAGGAAATCCGCGAAGACTTAGGAAACTGAGCATAATCGTTTATGAAAAAGGCTTAGCCTACTTAGGAACGCTATATATATATCAATGTAAAAAACCTTGTAAAGGGATCCGCAACTTTATTCACAAAAACATACACAATAACAAAAAAATTTCTTAGCTCTTGTTGTCTTCATAACTTAACCTAGAAATCTCTGTTTCCTCTCAAAACCCTTACAAATCTAATTGTGATAGTCTTGGCTGCCACAATATATTAAATAAAAGGATTAAGAAAAAT